TCTCTCCTTCTCCCTCTGCCAAAAAAAAAACTCCTCCCCAACATTCTCACTCGCTCTCTCTAAAAATAAATAAATCTTAAAAAAAAAGTTCCAAGATTCAGTATTTTTCTCTCAAAATATCAAGGAATAGATCATTCCTATGTTACATAAACTTTTCAGGAATAGGAAGGGGGTATAAAATCTCCTCAGTCATTCCATTAAGTCATTCTATATGGCTAAATAAGGCTAATACCTTATGTATTAAGAAAGCAAAAAAGCAAGAAGTATAAATATGAAAATGTATAGACATAACTGTCATTGTTGGCAAACAACAGGTTAATCCAAGTAGAATAAAACAAGCAAATCAACTCAAAACCCTTATAACAATTCATAGGATCAGTAAAGTGGAAGATGAATAAGGGAAAACAATCACTTTCCTGTACTGGCAATTATTAATTTGGTCAGCCGGCTGTAACAAAATACAAAATGGGTGGCTTAAACAACAGACATTTCCTTCTCACACATCTGGAGACTGAAAGTCTGAGATCAAGGTCCTAGCCAATTCAGTTCCTGGCGTAAGCCCTCTACCTGGCCTGCAGACAGCCACCTTATTGCCATGTCCTCATATGATGGAGAGAGAGAAAGCTCTAGTCTCCCTTCTTGTTCTTATAAAGACACTAATTTTATCATGGGGGCCCCAGCCTTATGACCTGATCTAAGCCTTATTACCTCCTGAGGCCTCACCTGCAAATTTATTGAGGTTTAGGACTTCAACATATGCATTTGGTGGGGACATATTCAGTCTATAATAGGTAATTAGTAAATATAATAGAAAAGAGCACATGCTATCACCTTTTCTCATCAATATTATATTGCAAATTTTATCCAATGCAATAAGAAAAATAAATCAAAGAGTAAGAATTACTCAACAACAACAAGAACAACAAAAAAAAAAACCCACAATTTTAAAATGGGCAAAAGAGGGGCACCTGGGGTGGCTCAGTCAGTTAAGCATCTAACTCTTGATTTAGGCTCAGGTCATGATCTCAGAGTCGTGGGATCAAGCCTCGTCAGGCTCCTTGCTCAACAGGGAGGCTGCTTGGGATTCTCTCTCTCCCTCTCCCTTTGCCCTTCCCCTCTACTCTTTCTCTCTCTAAAATAAATAAATAAATAAATCTTTTTTTTTTTTAATGGGCAAAAGACTTGAACAGACATTTCTCCAAAGAAGATATATGAATGGCCAATGAGCACATTAAAAGATGCTTAATATCACTAATCATAGGGAAATGTAAATCAAAACCACAGTGAGCTACTACCTCATATTCATTAGGATGGCTACTATCAAAAAACAAAACAAAACAGAAAACAACAAGTGTTGGCAAGGATGTGGAGCAATTGGAACCCTTATGCCCTGTTGTGGGATATAAAAAGGCACAGCCATTGTGGAAAACTGTATGATGGTTCCTCAAAAAATTAAAAATGAAATTACCATATGATCCATCAATTCCACTTCTGGGTATATATCCCAACCAACTGAAAGCAGGATCTAGAAGAGATATTTGTACACCCATGTTCATAGCAGCATTATTCACAGTGAGTAAAATGTGGAAGCAACCCAAATGCCCACTGACAGGTGAATAGATAAGCAGAATGTGGTGTATACATACAATGAAATATTATTCAACCTTGAAAAAGGAAGGAATTCTGCAATATGTTACAACAGGGTTGAACCTCGAGGACAGTATGCTAAGTGAAATAAGCCAGTCATAAAAAGACAAATACTATGTGATTCCACTTATATGAGGTACTTAGTCAAAACTGTAAACACAGAAAGTAGAATGGTGGTTGCCAGGGTCTTGGGGAGAGGAGAATGGAGACTTATTAATTGTCACAGAGTTTCAGTTTTACAAGATGAAAAGAATTATGGGGATGGATGGTGATGATGGCTGCGCAACAATGTGAATATACTTAATATCACTAAACTAAACACTTAAAAATGGTTAAGATGGTAAATTTTATGTTATGTGTATTTTACTACAAAAAAGGAAAATAAATAAAACCTCTTTTAAAAATTAATTGCCCATGTAAACTATACAAGAGAAACTGCAGAACTAAGAGAATTCAGCAAATCTTCTATAGATAAAGTCAACTATAGTCCCTCTACATCCCTTGCAAATAGGAAATATAACTTCTTAAATGCACTGCTTATAAAAGCAACATTTTGTTTATTTATTTTAAATAAGATACCTAGAAATAATCTAACAAAAGATATACATGGGGGAATTATAAAATTTTCTTAAAAACATTAAATAAGGCCTAAATCAATGGAGAAATGTGCCACATGGATGGCTGGGAGACTTAATGTCCCAAAAATATCAAATTCTCCAAGTTAATCTATGCAATTCCAGTAAGACTCTCAGTGAGATTATTCATGGAACTTGATGAGCTGATTCTAATGTAAGAAAAAAGGAAAATGAATAACTAAGACAACTTTGAAGAACAACAAGCTGGAAGGACTCACTGTTTATAAGAGAGCAAGACTTAATATAAAGCTTTGTGATTAAGACAATGTGGTCCATTGGTACCAACAGACAAATAAACCTACAGAATAGAATGAAAAGGCTAGCACGAGACCCACACATCTATGGAAATATAATTTATGTCAGAAGGGACAGTTCAAATCAGTAGGTAAAGATGAACTACTCAATAAATTGTATTGAGAAAATTGGTTATCTACACAGGAAAAGATAAAACATATTTCTACCTTCTATCAAGCACAAAAATAAATTCCAGATTAATGGGTTATTACATAAAATAAAATTTTAGGATTTTTAGAATATACAGGAGACTATTTTATGACCTAGAATAAGGAAGGATTTCTTCAAACAAGACGGCAAAAAGCACAGTGAAATTTAAATTTTAGATTCATCAGGGGTGCCTGGGTGGCTCAGTCGGTTAAGTGTCCAACTCTTAATTTCAGCTCAGGTCATGAACTCAGGGTCGTGGGATCAAGCGTCCTGTCTGGCTCCGCACTCAGTGGGGAGTCTGCTTGAGAGTCTCTCTTTCTCCCTCTGCCCCTCCCCAAGCTCACTCTATCTCATCTCTCTCTCTCTCTCAAATATATAAATAAATCCTTTAAAAATAAAATGGGGGCGCCTGGGTGGCTCAGTCGTTAAGCGTCTGCCTTCGGCTCAGGTCATGATCCCAGGGTCCTGGGATCGAGCCCCACATCAGGCTCCCTGCTCAGCGGAAAGTCTGCTTCTCCCTCCCCCACTCCCCCTGCTTGTGTTTCCTCTCTCGCTGTGTCTCTCTGTGTCAAATAAATAAATAAAATCTAAAAAAATAAATAAATAAAATAAAATAAAATTTAGATTCATTAAAATAAATAGGCTTCACCGTAAATAAGGCTGTACACAAGCCACAGACTTGAAGAAGGTACTTACTATGCAGGTAACTGACAAAGGATTAATGGAAAGAATATATAAAAACAAACCACAAATGAACAAGAAGACAAATAACCCAGGAGACAAACAGACCAAAATATGAACACATAGTTCAACAGAAGATGAAATAAAAATTCTCAACTCATTAATCATTTAAACCCAAATTAAGACAGCAATGAAATATCATTTCACACCCATCATATGAGCAACATTTTTTAAAATTCACTAAGACAAAGTGTTGACAAGTCTAGGGGGCGCCTGGGTGGCTCAGATGGTTAAGCGTCTGCCTTCAGCTCAGGTCATGATCCCAGAGTCCTGGGATCGAGCCCCATGTGGGGCTCCCTGCTCAGCGGGGAGTCTGCTTCTCCCTCTCCCTCTGCCTCTCCCCCTGCTTGTGCTCTCTCTGTCTCTCTTTCTCTCAAATGAATAAATAAAATCTTTAAAAAAAAAAAAAAAGAGTTGACAAGTCTAAACTCATAGAATCAGAGAGTTAGAAAAGGAGTTACCAAGAGCTGGATGGGGTGGGGATAGGGAGAAGTTAGTAGAAGGCACACACTTTCAGCTATAAGATAAAGAGGGTCTGAAGATCTAAGTGTAACATGGTGATGATAGTTGATAACACTGTATTAGATACTTGAAATTTGCTAAGATCTGAAATGTGCTCATCAAAAAAAAAGAGATAAATATGTGAAGTGATGAGTGTGTTAATTAACAAGGTGGGAGGAGTCCTTGTACAATGTAGCGTTGAATCAAATCGTCACGACGGACACTTTAAATATCTTACAATTTTATTTGCCAATTATACCTCAGTAAAACCGAAAAAAAGTTGACAGGTCTGCAAAGCAATGGCATTTGTCCTGCACTGATGACAGGAACATAAATTGCACAAACCCTTGGAGAACCAGCAAAACTAGTGAAAGTGAAAACATACCTACTTCACCTGGCAATTCCACTTTCTAAGCAGATATCCAAGGCATGGACCTGCATGCTGATTGCAGGATTCTTTGTAATAGCAAAAAAGAAAGGAGAAACCTTTAACAGGACAGCAGGTTTTTAAAAATGGTATATACAGGGCACCTAGGTGGCTCAGTCGGTTAAGCATCTGCCTTCGGCACAGGTCATGATCCCAGGGTCTTGGGATCAAGCCCCACATCAGGCTCCCTGCTTAGCGGGGAGTCTGCTTCTCCCTCTGCCTCTGCTCATGCTCTCACTTTCTCTCAAATAAATAAATAAAATATTTTTTAAAAATTGGTATATACATAGAATATACTGCTATGTGGCAGTTAAGATGAATGAACTAGAGCCTAATGGATAAATCTCCAAAACTTAACATGAATGGCAAAAAGAGGGACTTTTCAGAAGAGGTGGTTTGTGACCATTTTTGGAGTTTTAAAACATTCAAAACAACGCTGTGTATCTTCATAATTAGTAAATGTGTCAGAGCATTCAAGGAATGATAAACACCAAATTCAATTTAGTAGTTCCCTCTGGGGAAGGATGGGGCAAGGGGTGAGGGAAAGATCCAGAGATATGAGATGGGCCCCACAGGTGGTGGACTCTCTCACTGCTCTCCCCTAGGTGTGCCACAGGGGAGGCATGGCAGGATATCATGCTGGCCTGCATGCCAGGGAAGAAGTGTGCCCCCGAGTCGGAGCCCAGCAACAGCACAGAAGGCGAAACGCCCTGTGGTAGCAGCTTTGCGGTCTTCTACTTCATCAGCTTCTACATGCTCTGTGCCTTCCTGGTAAGCCGAGGTGGGACTGAACAGCCGCAGGTCGTGAGTGTGCAGTTCAAGGCAGCCCAGGCCTTCTATCTATCTCTGCAGCTTGCAGTCAGAGGAACCAGCTTGGAAAGACTCAGTAGCAATTTCCAACCACTAGACAAGGGCACAAAACCCTGGGCAAGAGTGAGCCCAACCAGCACCTTTCTCGTCTCTTCTTGGCTCTTGTCATGGTGGCATTGTCCCGGGGACAGAAGGGATGTGTGTGGAGGCCTAGAGGCAACCGATATGTTTTGGACACTTTGATGAGTAGTGGAGGGAAGGATGGTGGAGAAAGCTGCCCTCTGTCCTTGGCAGCCCTATCCAGCAGTTTGGTATGAGGGAAGATGTCCATGTGAACCCCCACATGTGGGGTTCATCCCACACCACTCTGAGAGGACCTGTGTCAGGTTCATGCCCAAGAGACCCAAGTTCCGGGGGCTGATGTTTTAAATGGTGAATATAGCTGGTCTTTAGAAATGTGGGCTTCTACCACGTATGGCACTGGCTGGCAAAGTGAATTCAAGTGGCAAGAAACTCATCATACCTCTTTTCTCTGCAGATCATCAACCTCTTTGTAGCCGTCATCATGGACAACTTTGACTACCTGACAAGGGATTGGTCAATCCTTGGTCCCCATCATCTGGATGAATTTAAAAGAATCTGGGCAGAGTATGATCCTGAAGCCAAGTAAGTTCCCAGAGGGAAACACTGATTCTCAAAGCCCAGATGACACTATGTGACCCTACCTATAGAAGAGGTTCAGCACAGGGGTAGATCAGTTAGAAACACTGAATTGCACCCGACCCCAGGGTCAAGGGTCAATGGCCAGTAATAGGAGGCCAAGCATCTTTGGCTAAGTCAAGAGCATATCTATTTTCAGTTGGGCAGAAAGACGGGAGATCCTAGTGTCAGGAATAACTAGTAAGTATTGAAGTTAAAATGTTTAGAGTCAAGCAGATCTCACCTCTATTCTCACCTCGGGTTCAAGGATACCCTCACTGGTCCATCACATTTGGTTGACAATAAATGCCTTTCGGTCAGATGGTTAGATTGCAGCAGCAAGTATATGTGAAAATCTCATTGCACTACCCCAAGTCCCTTCCACCTTGAACATAGCACTGGTGGAAAATTGCTCATTAAAATCTAAACATGTGGGGTGCCTGGGTGGGTCAGTTGTTAAGCCTTTGGCTCAGGTCATGATCCCAGGGTCCTGGGATCAAGCCCCGCATCAGGCTCCCTGCTCAGCGGGAAGACTGCTTCTCCCTCCCCCAATCCCCCTGCTTGTGTTCCCTCTCTCGCTGTCTCTGTCTATCAAATAAATAAATAAAACTTTAAAACAAAACAAAATAAAATAAAATCTAAACATGTATATATTGGTTTTGGAGTTTTACCATGCAATTCTGCAACTTTGCACTGAGTTTGACCAATAGGGCGACAGCTATGGAGAGCCTGGTACATGAGTCCTGGGCTGCAGGCTAAGACCATGGCCCTCTGACTGATCTTTCCCTCCTCCCCTTCCTCTTTTAGGGGTCGTATCAAACACCTAGATGTGGTGACCCTGCTCCGACGGATTCAGCCCCCACTGGGTTTTGGGAAGTTGTGCCCTCACCGTGTGGCTTGCAAAGTAAGAGACCTGGGTTCATAGGGGAAAAAGAAAATATGGGAGGGAAGAAGCCTGTGTGTCTTGTGACCTTGGTCAGGCCATTTTATGTGCTAAAGAAATGAGCCTGAACCAGATTATATTTTAAGGTTCCTTCCAACAATAAGTCCTCAGACTCCATAAAGGAAAACTGAAGTGAATGCTTCATGATCCAACAAGCCACATGCCCAGTCCCATCAGGCTGTACCACCTAGGCATCCTGGAAGACTTCCAGCCAAGGACGGATGGATTAGGGGTTCCCTTCCTGGGATCAGAAGGCTATTACAGGGTCCATGCATCAGCTTCAGGGACCTGTAAAGCCCTAAAATTATGTACAAAATCACTGAAATACAAATTGTACCAGGGAGAGGATCCATCATGTTCATCAAATTTCTAAGTGAGTCCAAGACCCTATAAAAGTTAAAGACAAGATAGGCTCTTTAGACCCAACTCCTGCTCATGTAGCCCTCACATGATCCTGAGAGTGAGCACCCCTTAAATTGTGTGCCCAGGCACCTCCCTTACCTCACTGTAATCCCAACCAGATAACCCCACAGTAGCTGAAGAGTATTGTTTCTACTCTATCCCCTCTTCATTTAATTGGCGTTTCCACCATTCTGTACTCCCTGTTGGAATAGCAATGAGCCAAAAGGGGTTGGGGAAAGTGAGGTAAGAGAGCTGTATAGAAGAAGCACAAATAGAAAAATTCAACTCCAGATAATCCACTCATGGGAAATGGAGAATTAAATTGTGCTCTGTTTTACTCAGTGTTTTCTCGCTTAAATCTCCACTTTGTTCCCAAATAAAAAAAAAGATTTTAGAAGATTTCCAAGGTTACAGAAGATATGAGGTGAAAAAAGCACAAATTAAATGTAAAGTCAAAGCACAATGGACAAAAGAGCAGGGACAAGTGTGGCCTGCATGAGGTGATAGAGCATCCATCATGGCCTCCAGATGGTCCTGGACAGGCTACCAATTGGGTGTTCAGCTTCCCAGTGACTGCTCCACAATTCACACTGTCCATGAGAGTCAAGAAGATCCAGTCACTCAGGAAAATTATAACTCTGCTTGGCACTATGATTAATAAGAGGACACCATGTGATCTAACAAATAACTTCTTTGACCACATCTTGAGAGCAAATGCCAGAATGACTTTCATGGTGCTCTTTCTCATAATTACTCTGGTGTGTGCTGAAGGCCCCACACCAGGGCACAATGCAATGGCAGCAATTTGGGGTGGTGAGAAAGGAGGGAAAAGGGCAATTCAATCTTACCCAGTCAACAAGCTTTTGACCCAGCTTGATGCAGAGGTATGTTTTTCAATATACAGAAAGGAAGATACACTGCACCTCCTTCATGCAAACCTACCATTACTGTCTCTCTTATCAGGGCTTTGGATGAATGCTGGGTGGCAGCTGGGCTCCTGGCAAGTGCCTGGCATGCAGCTGTTCTTTGTTGCCAGTAGAGAGCACACCCATATGCCTGAGTAGACATTTGAGCTGAGGAGGGGGTTGGGTGGGCTTAACATCCTTTTGTGAAAGCAAGGGTCTAAGAAGGACAAACTCCATTCCTCCCTCACTCTGTGTGGAAGGGTGAGAGTACTTACGGCAGAGCTGAAATTCTCCCCAGAAGAGGTTTTGAATACATTTTAGTGACCCATGCCTCAAACCCCTACCTGCTCCTGACATATGCACACAAGTTTGAGGGCTCCCTCCCAAAATTCTCCTGCCATGGTGGTTCTGTAGGTCCTTTGAGAACTGTTTGCTATAATCACCAGCTTTGCCTCCTCTTCCCCTCCAGCGCCTGGTCTCCATGAACATGCCTCTGAACAGTGATGGGACAGTCATGTTCAATGCCACCCTGTTTGCCCTGGTCCGGACAGCCCTGAGAATTAAAACAGAAGGTAAGGGTTGTCTGAGGGCTACTGGGAGAGCCACTCAGAAGATCTAGCAGACTACCCAAACAGCTTGCAAAATGCTTCCAGGATCTTCCCATTCTACGTAGTATCAGGGCAGTGGTTCAGTGATAACCTTCACATCCAGGGATGTTGAAGAGGCCTGGCCCACTCTTGTTTCCTTTGCTCCTTCAATGGCCTTTTGGTCTCTAGCTTATTTACTTTGAATTTTAGCCTCCCATTAATTTCTAAAAATTATTCTGGGTGATATCTTGAAGTCATAGCTTATAGTTCAAAAAGCAGAAGGTGATTAGTGTTACCTAAAGCAGGGCTAAGCCCCATCTAAATGGAATTTTACTAACTGTGTGGATCTCTCAAATGCTTAACTTTCTTTTTTAAATTAGAACTGTCAGAAAGGGGTCATATTGGCAAATGGTGACTATGGTCAAAGTCATCACATACAATTGTACAGGCTGTGCCTGGATCAAGGTGCTCAGCCAGCCAACAGGTATGGGCTAAGATCTCACCTGTGCTCTTCTGGTTGGGCCTTGCTCCCTCAGGGCTGTGTTCACCTGAAGAGATGCCTTCTCGTTTGCACAAAGGTACCCTATGGGCTAGCAGCAGCCTTGGCTGAGATAACCTGCTGTCCTTATAACTGATAAGTATTTCTGAGCCATTCTGTTGAAAAAGCTATATAGAATATACCTAAGAAGGTGTGATTGCTCTCCAAGAGCTTCTAGCTTATTACAGTGTTTTACAGAGTGTGGTCAAAAGACCACCTGCCTCAGATTCAGCTGTTGAAATTTGTTTAAAATGTGATAAGTCATTTATTCTCTATACTTCAGCTCCTTTGTTTGTAAAATAAGAAAGATAATGATGTGTGGAAATTCAGTTCAGTGAATAATCCAGCAGAGAAGTGCCTTTTCTCAGTTAAATCCTTCCAGAAAATAATAGAAACATCTAAAATGAAGGAAAATAAGAACCAGGCCAGCAAGACACATGTTAAAATAATGAGCTAATCTTTAAAAAATTAAAAATAGTTCAAGTTATGCTGCTGAACTAAAGAGAAACAAGGCTAAGGGAGGCGGTCCAAGATGCTGGCATAGGAAAACCCTGAACTCACCTCCTCCCAAGGACACACCAAATCTACACCCACATATGGAGCTATTCATCTAGAAGAACTGAGTGCTGATTGAACAACTTCTATACAACAAAGGTTAGAGGGACCACACAGAGAATGGCAGGAAAGGTGAAGACATGGCAACCATGGGAAACCCTCCCCCCCAAACCAATGTGACAACGTGCAGTGAGGAAAGATAGCACCGGGGGCCCTATACCCAAACTCACCCACCCTGGGACACAGGAAAAACAGTGGCTTAAAGGGCAACAAGACTATAAGTGAAGGAAATCCATTTATGTCCACTAAATGGCAGGGAAGAGAACTACTGGAACTCTCTCCAGGTTGGAGGTACCAACAACACCATTGTTTACATTCCCCTCCACCTTGCTAGTGCAGATGGGAGCAGGGACCAGGTGCTCTATTTGGCCTGCTAGGGTTACTCCAGTGAGCCCTAGGCCCTTAGCCCACACCAGCTCTCCCCAAGGTAACCCCCCACCCATGCCTGCCCCAGTTCCAACCACCCTACCAAGTTGACCTCCAGTCTCTGTACCCCAGGATACCCCCAGCCAGTGCCTGCTCCAGCTCTAGCCATTCCATCAGGGTGGTCCAGGCATAGTGTGCCCCTGGATTCCCCCAGGCCATGTTGGCTTCAGCTCCGCCCAGCCAGCCAAAGCTTCCAGGCACACGCAATGTACACAGGGGACATTCCTACACAAGGCCACTCTTTAAGACTGAGAGTGGTGGCAATTCCACCTAATTTGTAGAGACTGACACTGAAAGTCAAACAAAATGAGGAGACAGAAGAATTATGTTCTAAATGAAAGAACAAGATAAAACCCCAGGAGGAAAAACCCTGATGAAATGGAGATAGGTAACTTACCAGACAAAGTAAAGTAATGGTCATAAACACGCTCACCAAACTCAGGAGAAGAATGGAGGAACACAGTAAGAACTTCAACAAGGAGTTAGAAAATATAAGAAAGTACCAAAGAGGAGTCACAGAGCTGAAGAATATGCTAATTGAATTGAAAAATACACTAGGAATCAACAGCAGATTCGATGATACAGAAGAATGGATCAGCAATCTGGAAGACAGAACAGCAAAAAGAAAAAAGAATTTTTAAAAGTGAGAATAGTTTTAACTTCCCTAATCTGGGGAAGGAAACAGGCATTCAAGTCCAGGAGGCAGAGAACCCCCCTCAAAATCAATAAAAATAGGTCAACACCTCAACGTATAATAGTGAAGCTTGCCAATTTCAGAGATAAAGAGAAAATCCTGGAAGCAGCTCGGGACAAAACGTTCTCAACCTACGAGGGTAGAAACAAGGCTAGCAGCAGACCTCTCCACACAGACCTGGCAGGCCAGAACGGACTGGCATGATATATTCATTGTGCTAAGTGCGAAAATATGCAGCCAAGAATAGCTGCCATTCAGAATAGAAGGAGAGATAAAGAGTGTCCAGGACAAACAAAAGCTAAAGGAATTTGTGAACACCAAACCAGCCCTGCAAGAAATGTTAAAGGGGATCCTTTGAATGAAGAGAGAGCCCAAAAGTAACAAAGACCAGAAAGGAACGGAGACAATCTACAGAAACAATGACTTTATAGGTAATACTTCAGATGGCACTAACTTCAGATCTTTCAATAATTACTCTGAATGTAAATGGACTAAATGTTCCAATCAAAAGACATAGGGTATCAGACTAAGTAAAAAAAAAAAAAAAAAAAGAGACTCATTCTAGACCCAAAGACACCTCCAGATTGAAAGTAAGAGAGTAGAAGACCATTTATCATGCAACAGACATCAAAAGAAAGCTGGAGTAGCAATCCTTATATCAGACAAACTAGATTTTTTTTTGTTATTATGTTATGTTAATCACCATACATTACATCATTAGTTTTTGATGTAGTGTTCCATGATTCATTGTTTGTGTATAACACCCAGTGCTCCACGCAGAACGTGCCCTCTTTATTACCCATCACCAGGCTAACCCATCCCCCCACCCCCTCCCCTCTAGAACCCTCAGTTTGTTTCTCAGAGTCCATAGTCTCTCATGGTTCCTCTCCCCCTCCGACTTCCCCCCCTTCATTCTTCCCCTCCTGCTATCTTCTTTTTTTTTTTTAACATATAATGTATTATTTGTTTCAGAGGTACAGGTCTGTGATTCAACAGTCTTACACAATTCACAGCACTCACCATAGCACATACCCTCCCCAATGTCTATCACCCAACCACTCCATCCCTCCCACCCTCCACCACTCCAGCAACCCTCAGTTTGTTTCCTGAGATTAAGAATTCCTCATACCAAACTAGATTTTAAACCAATACTGTAATAAGAGATGAAGAAGGATGCTCTATCATAACAAAAGGGTCTATCCTATCCTTCTTCCTATCCAGGAAGAAGATCTAACAATTGTAAATATTTATGCCTTTAACTTGGGAACAGCCAATTATATAAACCAATTAATAACAAAATTAAAGAAATACATTGATAATAATACAATAATAGTAGGGTACTTTAACACCCCACTCACAGCAATGGACAGATCATCTAAGCAGAAGATCAACAAAGAAACAAGGGTTTTGAATGACACACTGGACCAGATGGACTTCACAGATAAATACAGAGCATTCCATCCTGAAGCAACAGAAAACACATTCTTCTCGAGTGCACATGGAACATTCTCCAGAAGAGATCACATACTGGGTCACAAATCAGGTCTCAACTGGTACAAAAAGATTGAGACTATACCATGCATATTTTCAGACCACAATACTTTAAAACTTGAACTCAATCACAAGAAAAAAAATAGAAGGAACACAAATACATGGAGGCTAAAGAGCATCCTACTAAAGAATGAATGGGTCAACCAGAAAATTAAAGAAGAATTTTTAAAAATACATGGCAGCGAATGAGAGTTCAGGACCTTTAGGATGTAACAAAGGTGGTCTTAAGACGGAAGTATATAGCAATTCAGGCCTTTCTTGAGAAACAAGAAAAGTCTCAAATACACAACCTAACCTTACACCTAAAGGAGCTGGAAAAAGAACAGCAAATAAAGCCTACATCCAGCAGGAAAAGAAAAATAATAAAGATTAGAGCAGAAATCAATGATATAAAAATTAAAAAAAAAAACCAGTAGAACAGATCAATGAAACTAGAAGCTGGTTCTTTTAAAGTTAATAAGATCAATAAACCCTTAGCCAGAGTTATCAAAAAAGAAAAGAGAAAGGACCCAAATAAATAAAATCATGAATAAAAGAGGAGAGATCACAACGAACACTGAAGAAATACAAACAATTATAAGAGAATATTATGAGCAATTATATGCCAACAAATTAGGCAATCTGGGGACGCCTGGGTGGCTCAGTCAGTTAAGCAGCTGCCTTCGGCTCAGGTCATGATCCCGGGGTCCTGGGATCGAGCACCGCATCAGGCTCCTTGCTCAACAGGGAGCCTGCTTCTCCCTCTTCCTCTGCCTGCTGCTCCCTCTGCTTGTGCTCTCTGTCAAATAAATAAAATCTTAAAACAAAAAAAAATTAGGCAATCTGGAAGAAATGGATGCATTCTTAGAAACATATAAATTACCAAAACTGAAACAGGAAGAAATAGAAAACCTGAACAGGCCCATAACCAGCAAAGAAATTGAATCTGTAATCCAAGGCCAGATGGCCTCCCAGCAGAATTCTAACAAACATTTAAAGAAGAATTAATACCTATTCTTCTGAAGCTGTTTCAAAAAAAAATAGAAATGGAAAGAAAACTCATTCTATGAGGCCAACATTACCTTGATCCCAAAACCAGGCAAAGACCCCACCAAAAGGGAGAATTACAGACCAATATCCCTGATGAACATGAATGCAAAACTTCTCACCAAGATACTAGCT